TATAATATATATTTATATATATCTCTATGAAAATACTCCTGCTGGTATATTGCTTTCCAATTAAATGAAGAAGTCAACTGGTTTATACAGCTGCATAATCAGCTCTGGTAACGAATATTAAGATCCTCTCTCAAAAACGACAAAACAAGCAACAAAATTTGACAACAAACTGCAAGCATACAGAGCGTAAGTATCTATAACACTTAAATTTTCACAGCATAAAGGCAACTTTCTGAAAACATTCACTTTCCAGTCTAAATTCACCAATAGACAGCATTGCTTGAGCATTGCATGAATCTACGAACACACATTTTTAAAATTTAGTTTTGCAATCAGGTCAAGGAGGTAGAGTCCAATTTTGTTTTCCTGAAGGGATTTGTCCTCCATGAATACTTATAGAAAAGATGTGCATCATAGCAATACATATCTGGCACTTAGTCTTCAACAAATTAATACAACAAAATCAGTTGGATTCCTATATGAATATACGTTTACAATGTGAACTCTATATGACTACTTTTCAGCTAGCAGCATACAAGTAAGTTCTTGCATAATGGCGTCCTATTTAACATTAAATTCTATCCTCTTTCTTATAGGTTGTTGTACTTGCATGTTCAGTGTATTTTTGGGTATTTATAAATGAGATCCATTATTGGCTATGTTATATAATCTTTATCAACACATTCACACATTCTATATATGTATATATAAATACATATATACACATTTGTGTGTGGATATATACCTTTCTCAACATACATATAGTTTTTTCTATGTAAATTATACATATAAGGAGTCTGCGAGCTCAACAACTTCCCGTTTTAGATTCTGAATGGAACAAGGCATCATTGAATTGGTAAATTAGTGACACTTTGGGGAAATCAGCATGAAAAGTAGATTTTCTCCTTGAAGAAACAATTTACCAGACTATCAAGGTCATCAATCTTGCACACCCCACACATGCATATGTATATATATATATATTACCTCTCTGATAAATTTTACACTGTACAATGGTCACTCATCACAGACCTAATCTGTAGCTAAAATATCAATATATATAGACGCATTTATAATATATATTTATATAT